CCTGATTCACACAGTCCCCTCTGAACAGCTGCTGTTGAGATGTGTCTGTGACTTGAACTCTGTGAAGCATTTATTTGGGCTGCAATTTCTGAGGCTGGGAACTCTAATGAACTTATCCTCTGCAGCAGAGGTAAATCTGGGTCTTCCATTCCTGTGGTGGTCCTCATGAGAGCCTGTTTCATCATAGCGCTTCATGTTTTTTTTGCGACTGCACTTGAAGAAACGTTCAAAGTTCTTGAAATGTTCCGTATTGACTGACCTTCATGTCTTAAAGTAATGATGGACTGTAGTTTCTCTTTGCTTATTTGAGCTGTTCTTGCCATAATATGGACTTGGTCTTTTACCAAATAGGGCTATCTTCTGTATACTCCCCCTACCTTGTCACAACAACTGATTGGTTCAAACGCATTAAGAAGGAAAGAAATACCACAAATTAACTTTTAAGAAGGCACACCTGTTAATTGAAATGATTTCCAGGTGACTACCTCATGAAGCTGGCTGAGAGAATGCCAAGAGTGTGCAAAGCTGTCATCAAGGCAAAGGGTGGCTATTTGAAGAATCTCAAATATAAAAATATATTTTGATTTGTTTAACACTTTTTTGGTTACTACATGATTCCATGTGTTATTTCATAGTTTTTATGTCTTCACTATTATTCTACAATGTAAAAAATATGAGTAGGTGTGTCCAAACTTTTGACTGGTAGTGTAATTATTCAGACCCTTTATTCAGTACTTTGTTGAAACACCTTTGTCAGCGTTTACAGCCTCGAGTCTTCTTGGGTATGACGCTACAAGCTTGGCACACCTGTATTTGGGGACTTTCTCCCATTCTTCTCTGCAGATCCTCTCAAGCTCTGTCAGGTTGGATGGGGAGCATAGCTGCACACCTATTTTCAGGTCTCTCCAGAGATATTTACATTTACATTTGATCGGGTTCAAGTCTGGGCTCTGGCTGGGCCACTCAAGGACATTCAGAGACTTGTCCCGAAGCCACTCCTGAGTTGTCTTGGCTGTGTGCTTAGGGTCGTTGTCCTGTTGGAAGGTGAACCTTCACCCCAGTCTGAGCGCTCTGGAGCAGGTTTTCATCAAGGATCTCTCTGTACTTTGCTCCGTTCATCTTTCCCTCGATCTTGACTAGTCTCCCAGTCCCTGCCGCTGAAAAACATCCCCACAGCATGATGCTGCCACCACCATGCTTCACCGTAGGGATGGTGCCTTGTTTCCTCCAGACGTGATTCTTGGCATTCAGGCCAAAGAGTTGCATCTTGGTTTCATCAGACCAGAGAATCTTGTTTCTCATGGTCTGAGAGTCTTTAGGTGCCTTTTGGCAAACTCCAAGCGGGCTGTCATGTGCCTTTTACTGAGGAGTGGCTTCCATCTGGCCACTCTACCATAAAGGCCTGATTGGTGGAGTGCTGCAGAGATGGTTGTCCTTCTGGAAGGTTCTCCCATCTCCACAGAGGAACTCTGGAGCTCTGTCAGAGTGATCATCGGGTCATCTCCCTGACCAAGACCCTTCTCCCCCGATTGCTCAGTTTTGCCAGCGGCCAGGTCTAGGAAGAGTCTTGGTGGTTCCAAACTTCTTCCATTTAAGAATGATGGAGGCCACTGTGTTATTGGCGACCTTCAATGCTGCAGAAATGTTTTGGTACCCTTCCCCAGATCTGTGTCTTGACACAATCCTGTCTCAGAGCTCTACGGACAATTCCTTCGACCTAGTTGGCTTGGTTTTTGCTCTGACATGCACTGTCAACTGTGGGACCTTATATAGACAGGTGTGTGCCTTTCCAAATCATGTCCAAACAATTGAATTTACCACAGGTGGATTCCAATCAAGTTGTAGAAACATCTCAAGGATGATCAATGGAAACAGGATGCACCTGAGCTCAATTTCGAGTCTCATAGCAAAGGGTCTGAATACTTATGTAAATAAGGTATTTCTGTTTTATTTTTAATACATTTGCAAAACATTCTAAATAACTGTTTTCACTTTGTCATTATGGGGTATTGTGTGTAGATTGATGAGGGAAAAAAATTATTTAATCTATTTTAGAATAAGGCTGTAACGTTAAAAAAAGTCAAAGGGTCTGAATACTTTCCGAATGCACTGTAGGTAGGCGTACACATATAATGCATGGCATATAGGATATAACCTTAATCTTTTGGGACATTCATTGGGACCTCTCTCTCCATCTGCAACAGGCTTTCATAGCTTTCCATATCTGAGGACAGAAAAAAATCACAACGAAACAGGCTTCATTATACTCAAATTAGACCGCAATGAATATTACGTTGCTATTATTTCCCCTCTAGGGACTGGAACTGGATAATATTTTTTATAATGTCCTCCTACAAAATGACCTGCCCTATCCAGTAGCCTACACTGACTCTCACTTTACTGAAAGCTGGAGCTGCAATTTCACGCTCTTCCATGGCTGTTTTCTACAAATGCATTTGTAGACTGTGTTTTTAATTTACAATGATTACGTCAAGATAGCTAGCTAATAGGAAGTTAGCTAGCTGATGACATTTAGTTCACTTAGCTAAACCGTGTGTAAAGTCAGCTAGCAGCTCAGTTTAGTTAGCTTACAAAGTGGCCAACTGTAGCCAGCCAGCTAGCTAGCTAGCTAATAATACATAGTTTACATGTTAAAAATGTATTTACTTACTTAAATAGGTTCTCCCACTGCCTCTGATTTTTGGGTCCTTCCCAAAACAAAATAATGGGTAATCTTCACGATATTGTCGGTGATAGCAAAGCGCAGCCATGTGGACGAATGGAGACAAGGAAAAACGTGTGTTTATCACCAGAGTGGTTTAGAACGTGTTGTGACGTTTGACTTTACCAGCGTAATCCACTTTCAATTTCAATAAATATAAACCACACTTGGTAACTTCAAAACTAGCACTTAAAACTAGCATAGGCAACAACTAACCGGACGGAAAACAGTGACTGACGCACATAACACACAGCACCCCTTCTACGGGCGTGTGGGGGAGGGTTATTGAAACCCTCCCCCAATACAAAATACTCCAGACCTCCAAGGGAGGTGTGACAATGACGTGGAGGTAAGGCAACGTGAGACTAATCTATGGGTAATAATAGAGTTGACGGGTTATGCTCGATCCACACAGTTTTCCACCACAAAACACCAGAAATGGCCAAAAAGAGTAGAACCAGCTCACCTGCTTTTACAGTATGATTTGACTATTAGATGTTAAATGTTTCTTTTGAAAAATATATAAAAAGGAATAGTTTCACCATATTCAAATGAGAGTTTAGTTCACGTAACAGGGTTCACCTTAAAATAAGGGACGGACGTAAATTAATCACTAATCACATTCAATTAATAATCTTCAGAAATGACTTTGTCAAAACAACACAATAATAAAGGCTTTACAATGATGGTGAAAACTTTGGGGTTAAGTGGGTTAAAAATATTCCTAGAATCACAGAGGATGTAATTGTAAAGCAACTTTGGGTCCTTGAAAAGCGCTATAAAAGTCCCATATATTATTATTATTATTGTTATTGTTATTATTATCATCTAGCAATATTCAACTGAAATCGTTTGCATGGATAGTTCAACAACATCTGTATGATAATTTTGGCACACATACTTAGGCATACATCTGGCACTTGCCATTTCACATGAAAAAACATTGCACACTATCATAAAAATCACTTAGCTAAAGTAAACAAACAAGAATAGCCTCTTTGGAGTTTCTGTATTGCCCATCCGAGTACAGAGTGCACAATTTCCAACCCTTAATCTTTACATTCCAGAAGTATCCAGACCAGCAGCAGAAAAGAACACTGTGCAGCCCAATAAAAGATGGGGAAAACAACACCTCCTCTATGTTCTAATACTAAAGGGCATCTAACTGCTGCCTTGTCATCTGCTAGATGAGTCTATATCCCAATAAATCACCAGGGTGTAACCGGTACTCTGGCTGCCACTGCACCACGTTTGAAGTGGCTCCTGGCTTGCAGTGGGTCCCGGCTGGAGCTGCCAGTCCTCCAGGGCTCAGTCAGTCTCAGTCCCTTATGGTTATGACTAAGGGGCCACACTGCCCGGCACATCGCCCGCCCAGTTCTCTTCCTTCTACCCAGCTCCCCTCACCTGGGCTAGGAGGGCTTTCCCCTCTCTCAGCGCTCTGCTGTACACACATACATACAGACACTTGTAGACACACACACACAGATGTTTCTAGACACAGAACCACACACACACAAACACACACAGCCTCTCGCCTGTAGACACTGGGGCACATGGATGAAAGGAGTTCTGTCTGTTTACAGTGTGTTCTGGCCACAATGCGTGCAGCGGCCTGATACCGCTCTGGGGACACGACACATGCCCGACACATGCATCCTGCTGGCAGAGTGTTCCCTCCGTTCTCTCCCTGAGCCTGTGAGACACACTTTCCTCTGTTTGTTTTGGTTCTCATTTGGCGTGGCATTGGCACGACCCTCTCATGCAGAGGAAAGCATGGCTGGTGGACCGGTGGAGAGCCACATGCTTTGTGGAGATGGTTTCAAACAAAGCACATGTGTTGTGAGTTGAAATGCTACCGTGGGAAAAGTTTGTTGAGTCAATTATCTATGTGGCCGTGCCATTTCCTGACATCCAGTGTCCACCCATAAGTTATGAAATAAGTACTAAATGTACTGAAATGCCTAATATTTTTCACATCTCATGTTTATGCCTATAGTACTGTATACACATATCAGCGGTCAATAGACCCCTTTAATCACTGTGCTCTAACATAAAAACTGCAGTGATTTCACCCCCTCACCATCATCTTCATCACGCCTAGCTGATCAAATAAGATGTCCAATACTGCTCTCTAGTGGCAAGAATAAAGTAAATCATGTTGAAAGGATTTACAGTGAATTTCCCATTTACTTGCATTGACTCTGTCTAGAATCCCTGCCTATACTGTCCGTATTGTTGTTCTTCACTCTGATTGGTGTACCTCTCCTGTGTCATCTAGGTGATGGACAGTTCTATGCCTCTGATTGGTGAGCATGTGGAGGAGGACAGGCAGTTGATCACTGATCTAGTGATCAATAAGATGTGCAGTGTGCTGCTCGGTATCAACACACCACAGCCCAGCGCTGTGAAGGTAAATCTCTCTCACCTCCTCTCCAGAGTGTAACACTATTATGGATTTGAATTGATGTAGATTAGATCTCAAAAGTAATGAAGAATTGCTTCAAATAAGCCCTTGTGTAGGGAGTATATCAAACCAACCATGCACTATTACTGTCCATGTTCAATGCTTTTCATTTCACAGCCACAGACAACCCAGCCAAGAAGGGCCCAAGGTAAAGAGACCTCATCGACATCTTATCACCAGTTTGATTGCGGTTGTGGCGAATATGAATATTATGATAGTGTGGAGAAATACACATAGTAGTGCCTTGAGTCTGAGACGAAACATGAGTGTGTTGGCTCTGCAGGTGGGCATCGCTCTGGTTCTCCCTCCCAGTCAGCCCAGGGTTCTCCTCAGCGAGCCCGCTCAGCTAACACCTCTCCCAGCCAGGCCTTTCAGCCCGGACCCATCCCACCTCCCGCCGCCACCGGCCCCGGCTCCCAGAAACAACCTCCACAACTGAAGTAAGTCAACGCATCAAATCTGATGTTAACATGGGTGTGTAATACTAACAGAATAATATAATTAAGAAATTAGGCATGAGGGGGTTGTGGTATATGGCCAATATACCATGGCTGAGGGCTGTTCTTATGCATGACTCAACGCGGAGTCCCTGAATACAGCCCTTAGCCGTGGTATATTGGCCATATACCACAAACCCCCAAGGTGCCTTATTGCTATTATAAACTGGTTACCAACGTAATTAGAACAGTAAAAATAAATAATGTCATAGCCGTGGTATACGTTCTGATGTACCACGGCTTTCAGCCAATCAGCATTCAGGGCTTGAACCACCCAGTTTATAATGTCATACAGTACCAGTCAAGTTGACTGGTACTGTATATTGGCCATATACCACACCTCGGGCCTTATTGCTTAATTAGAATTGTAAAGAAATCTGTGCTAAGTACAAGATCTCTAGTGTCACGAACCGGCTCGTAAGAAATAGGGAAACAACGTGGAGATAAGGATTAACACAATATGTTTATTAACTAAAGCAAACTATATACAATTAACAATGGTGTGTGTAGTCAGTAATCAGTAGTGTAAGTGAGTGGATGCGTGTGATAAGAGGAGTGTTGAAAGGTGCCAAAGCAAATAAACAATACAGCCACAAAAATGCCACAACCAAAACCTATAAAACCGGGGACCACCAAGGACCCCGGAACACCACACCAACCAGACATACATAAACACAAACAAAATACTGCCCTGGTTAGCCCTATCCCACTGCCCCAGCCAACCTCGTCCTCCCCAGACCTCAGCAACCTTTGCGCACAGGAAGCAACTTTTAAGAGGAAAGAAGAAACGTGAACAGCAGGAAACAGAAAACAGGAGCAACAGAACACAAAATATACAAAATAAACAGTCAGTCACGTGGACGACATGCATACGCTCAGGGACCACGCGTATGAGAAAACGCGTGTCCACCGATCAATAGGACCAGATTCGTTCAGGACCAGGGCGCATGAGAGAGCGGATCAGCAACAACATTATCAGTCCCTCTGATGTGCCGCACATCGAGATGGAAGGCCTGTAAAAACAAACACCATCTCATTATCCTCTGGTTGGGACACATCACAGACCTCAAGAAGGTGAGAGGGTTATGGTCGGTGTAGACCACAATAGGTACTACACCCGACCTACACCTCAAAGTGTTGTAGCGCCCATATGAGTGCTAGCGCTTATTTTTCCGCCACAGAGTAGTTCAACTGATAACGGTTACATTTCTTGGAAAATAAACTAACAGGCCTCTCAACACCGGACACATCTGCTTGCAGCAGGACTGCACCTGCCCCCACGTGACTCGCATCCACCTGCAAGGAGAATGACAAATCCATGCAAGGAGCAGCCAGCACCGGAGTTGAGGCAAGCAACCTCTTTGCAGCCTCAAAAGCCTGTTGACAGAGAGGAGACCAGATGTATACCGCTTTCAGGGGAGCGACTACGGTAGAGAAGTTCCTACAGAAACTACGGTAATAACCAATCATTCCCAAGAAAAGCATCAATTCCTTTTTAGTAGTTGGCGGTGGAAAAGCATCAATAGCGATCACTTTAGCCCGAACAGGACACACTTCACCCTGCCCAACCACCTTACCAAGGTACGTAACGGTCGCCTGAGCAAATTCGCACTAAGCCAGATTGATAGTGAGGCAACCTGCCGCCAAGCGGTCGAACAAGGCTTGAATACAGGACAGATGCTCCTCCCAAGTATCTGCATAAACCAATACATCGTCCAGATAAACAGCGCACCAGACCAGACCGGAGACAACCCTATTCATAAGGTGTAGAAAAGTGGCAGGTGCGTTACGCAAGCCGAAACTCATAACCAAATACGAGTACTGACCAGAGGGTGTAATAAAGGCAGAGATTTCACATGCCCTACTGGTCATTGGCACCTGCCAATAGCCCTTTAACAGGTCAAACTTGCTCACAAACATAGCTGCTCCGACCTGATCAACGCAGTCATCCATCCGAGGAAATGAATCTGTCTTAGTGGCACTGTTTACCTTACGGTAGTCCGTACAAAATCTGTTTGTCCCATCCGATTTACTGACCAAGATACAGGGAGAAGCCCAGCTAGAGAAAGGTTCTGCAATATCGCTCTCCAGAATGTACCTTCTCAGCACCCAGACAACGCCGTTTCTCTGAAGAAACTCTATAGAACCGCTGACGGATGGGGTCAGCATCCCCAACGTCAATATCACGTTCTATTAAGTTTGTACGAGTAGGTGTATCAGAAAACAAAACTGGAAAACTCTGAATCAGACCAACCAACTCGTCTCGCCTATCAACAGGTAGATGAGTGAGAAGGCTATCCAAAACATCCAGTGTCTCTGAATTTTGAAATCTACCCTGCAGTACGCAATCATCAGGACCAGGGACATCATCCTCACCATGCATGGACCTAGCATGACAAAAAGAAGAACCAAGCGATGTAACAGTACAGGCCAAAATAACAGGTTTACTGTCCTCTGCGGACACACTCTTCGGCCCCAGAGGAACGTGCGTAATGGGGTTTTAACAGATTTACATGGCACAGTTGGTGCGCTTTCCTTCGTTCCCAGAGTGGCAACTAGATAGTTTGCTCAGTGCACTGGCGCACAACCATATATGGACCTTGAAGCTTGGCGTGAAAAGGAGACCCAACAATTGGCAGCAGAGCAAGAACCTGGTCATCTGGACTAAAGTGACGAGACTCAGCTCGTTGATCAAATATGCCCTTCATCCTCCCTTGTGAAGATGATAGCTTCTCTTCAGCAGCGTACAGGTGTCGCCGGAAATCACATACATAAGATAAGACTGAGGTGGTTCAGGAGACTTCCAGTCATCCTGGAGCACCGCTAGAAGTCCACGAACACTATGTCCGAACACTAGGTCATTTGGACTGAAACCCGTGCTCTCCTGTGAAACCTCCCTGGCGGCTAACAGTAACCAAGGCAACCCCTCCTCCCAATCCTTACCCAGCTCCATACAATAAGCTAACAAAGACATAAGTGTTTTGTTAGACAAAGACAAATTATGTTTAATATGGAGCTGTTGGAGAACCTGACCAAACAGATTAGAGGTGAAATTAGAACCTTGATCACTGAATGACCTTAGGGATTCCAAAATTGAGAAACTGAGTCAAAGCCTTTAGCACAGACTTAGTCGGGATCGAGAGGATATGCAGCAGGATACCTAGTGGTCTGACACGTCACAGTGAACAGGTAACTACTACCATTCTTAGAGCGAGGCAGAGGGCCAACACAGTCAATCAGATACTCAAAAGGTTGGCTGAGTACGGGAATAGGAAACAGCGGTACCGGATTAATAGCTTGAATAGGTTTATCCGTTAATTGACAGGTGTGACAGGTTTTGATGAACGCAGAAACATCCCTCTTTAACCTAGGCCAAAATAAATGTCTCAGTATGCGATTGTAGGTTGTCACGCCCAGATGTCCAGCAACATCATCGTGGGAAGTTTTCAGCACCAACTCATGAAGCTTAACTGGTACCACAACCGGATTAATTACCTCCCCCACAAAACTACTACCATGAGGCACCCATTTTCTCATCAGGACATCATCCTGGAGAAAATAGCCATGGGCGACAATGTGGGGTCAGCCCGTTGCTCTTTGATTAGATCAGAACGGGGCACAGATAATGGGATAACAGGGAAAATAGTGACATTTCTTTGTACCATCATCATTAACCGGCGCTGTGACCAGGTCGCCACGGCTCATGGAACGCGTCACCGCGCACGCAGAGAACACCTCTGGGAAACTCTGCGCGCTGGCGGATTCCACCCAAGCCATGAATGTGCCCCCGAGACAACTGCTCCGTCCACCACACAAAAAGAACAAACAAAATAACCATGCCCAACATATTACAAAGTGGAACACGTCGCTAAGCCTAATAGGGGAAAAGAAAGGCTATAACTCCGGGTAGCAAATAGCACTACCCTACCCAAATCTCCCACTGAGGTACACAGCCGATTGTACTAACCTCTTCGGACCGATGTCCCAACAGCGAGTAGAGCAAGAGTTTCCAGCCTGGGCAGGGGCCTGGAAACTAACCAGTGTCCTCTCTCCAACGCAGCACACAAATATCCACCGCAGTGGCTAGTTTAACAAAAAAAAGGCAACCAACACTGGGCCTACCAAACATCACAACTTTAAAAAACTGTACCAAAAGATGCAAACTAAGCACCTAAAGAATTTATCGAACACTAACTCCACGTTTTCTCCCAAACAAAATACTCATACCAGTTAGCCAAACACTAGTATTAGGCCTACTGCATATTTTACCAGGCAACGCACCGTTTGATAATGTCACTGGACAACCAAAATCACTGATACGTCTCTAAGGCACTATACCAAACAATTATAAGACTATGCAGGGAATACCAACCAAAGCGCATCCCGTAACATTAACCCATCATAATGCAACAAAATACTATACGCCAAAATGTCTAGGAACCAACCTTATGACGATGATCCCGGACAAGCCCCCACTTGTCACGAACCGGCTCATAGCCGGTGGAGATAAGGAATAACAAAATATATTTATTAACTAAAGCAAACTGTATACAATTAACAGAAATACTCTATTATAATATCTGACACGCCCACTTTTGTTCCTGTTTAACAGCTGTTAATAAATGGCCTGCATTTACAGGATGCTCAGCTCCAGCCACCTCTTCAGATATTAATATGTGATAAAAGTGAAACTACCTCTTGAGTTTTGATTCTCTCGTAACTCCTCCCTAGTTCAACGTGGATTGGCTGTACATGGCAAAGGGGTTGTCGGTTGGGCAATTTGCAACAAGATTTCTCCACAACCTTTGCCCAGTTTACCTCCTGACTCAGATACATTTCTAAGGTTTGACTGTATTTCTGTCCAAGCAGACAGTCATTGGCTTGGCTACAATAAACATTAACAAGTATCTTCTAAGATTAAGCTCCTTTGTTAAAATCTTGTTGGGCTTAGAGAGCAACGTGCACTAGTTTATTCCCTGTTGTGTGTGCTGTTGGCCAGCCTCTTTTGATCAAACTGTGCAGTAGCAAAGTTGGCAGAATATGATCCCCTCGGCCCTCTTCACACATGCACACGCAAGCATGCATGAATGCACACAAACAGACACACACATACATCCACCATCTCCATGTTGCATGCCCCTCAGGCCTCAGCCTCACTCTCACATTCACTCTCACGCCCCTTGCAGCAAATCCCAGTCGCTCACCAACACCTTCACTGAGACCCTGAAAGGGAACACCACGGACGACGAGGCCAAGGCAGAGACCATCCGCAGCCTCCGGCAGTCCTTCGCCAGTCTCTTCTCCGACTAACTTCAACAGACTCCTCATATCCATCAGCCTACTGTCAGCCATTAGCCATCGGCCTCCAGGAGAGCTCCAAGGTACTAATCTGTTACAGAGCGCGCTCAGTCAACCCACAGAGCGGAAGCTTCTTGTCCACCACTTCCTACTTCCTGTTCTTATTCATAAATGGCAGGTCCACCTCTCAGAATCATCTGTCAAATAAAAAAAATACTAAATTAGGCTATAGTTCATGTTGTACTGCGTGGTTGGTGTAGTTGAGATGTCGGTTTGCATTCTATTTGTTATTTCATCAAATGTTCATTTGATTCATTATTTAGTTTTGGTCATATTTGTGTTTATCATCTTCAAGGATGTTGATATACTTTGGGAGATAAAGGCAATATTACAGTATTTAGAAATGACCAATAATAGTGTATGGGCTAGGTTCACCAGCAATGCTTAGCATCTTGCCAGTCTCATTTCATAGAAATACTATTGCCATGTCTTGTAGACCCATACATGTTGATTGGCTGATATAGTAACTATATAATGATTTGTAATTTTGGCCTTTGATTACAGAAGTATTTTTGATTAAAATTAATTGTATTAGGTCAAGATAGTTTAGGCTATATACTGTGCCTGTCAATTTGCAATTTTACAAGGCGGAAATATTATTCTAAGTCTTCCATCACAGACAATTCTCCCCTACATTCTAAGCATTTATGAACTATCCAATGTAAATAGCACTGACTTTTTTTATTTTATATTGGGCATTTGATTTACTACTACTCCCTTGCTGTGTGTTGAAAATATGTACATAACACAGAGAAGAAGTGCTGACATCTTTGCTTCAATGGTTATAAGATCAGTTACCTTTAATTCTGTACATACTGTAAGGTTGAAAATACTCCTGGGAGAATTACATTTACTTTTGATCCTTGAAGCATTGTCGACCTAAGAATAGACATGATTTGCAGTGTTTATCTGTCTATAGCTTACATCCACTTCAGGAAATGACAAAGTTGTCTTGTAACCTAATACTCAGCTACCACATATGCACAGATTCTATCTACGGTAACGATACTATCTGATGTTAGCTTAGTGTCCATATTATTCCCCCCCCGTACGGTTATCTCATTATAATAGAGAAGGACAGACTAATCACATGACTGGCTAGTTTGTTCTTTTGACTTAAGTGCAAACATTTTAAGTCTCTGCGCCCAAATGGATTTTCTGTTTAGGGTTACATTTTTGACTGGTATGAAAAATGGCAATTCTATTTCATGGATTGAATATTGTCCCCATACTTTCTTTTTAGTAATTGCACTTCAAGTCGCACTATCAGCAATATGGGTGAAATTAAACTTGCTCTCCAACTTGATTTAAATACATTTTTAAATAGTTATTAAGTTTGTCTTTTCACTTTCAAACTGTATTTATTGTCCTGAACATATATGCCAATCATAGTAAGGTATTATTATCAAAATGGACCAAATTATGTGTTTGTATGGTAAAACCTCTATGTTTGAATTATTTTCTCTGTTGTTGATGTGAAATGTTTCTACAATTCAAAGTACCGAATACTATGAAAAGCCATAACAAAACCATGATTTACTGAAAATGTTTTTTTGTTTTTACAATATGGTCATGATGTTATTGATAAATCAAAATGTTTACTCATTATCACTGTGAATGTTAGTTATGCTTCTAAGGATTCAATCATTTTGCTTCTACTAGTGTTGATTTATAGTGTACATGGGTATAATGCTGTAAGCTAGTGAATGCCACACCTCCATATTTGGATGCCACACATCCATAGTAATTTATTTACTCATTTGTTAATTGACAATTTCAGTAAGCAAATAATGTTAATGCACTGAAGAAATGCAGAATTGAGTGGTGATGAGGTCATCTGGTAACTACCTCAGTTCCAGCAAGCTGTGCTGCTAGTAGTAGTTACCACTAATACTCTGAAGTGGGTGGAATTAAGACAAAAAAATGGAATGGCTTTCATTTGACCTAATCTGTATGTCTGCATGTATTCCTACAATTGTAATCCTAACATTCATACAGTAAATTGGATGTACTGTACTGTCTCTCAAGTAGTTATTCCCTGTGAGTAAAAGGCAATACACCCATAGATGAGTATATTATCTACGGTCAATAACTAAATGAATATGACATGGTTTTCATATCATGATCCCCATTTACATGTCATTGCGATGGAGAATTAACGGCAATAGCCCTTAAAAATATGTATGTTTATTAAAGTGTGCACTATGCCATTCAACAGATGCTCAGAAGTCATCTACACTTCCGTTGAATAGCCACCCTCCTCTCTTATTTTCCCAATCTAACAGAACCTGCTGTCATATGTCCTCTTATGATGAGCATCTGCTGGAAGGCATTGTGTGCCCTCATGTGTATTAATGATATAAGTGTGGCATGAAAACTGACCCCTGGTGTGCCTCTGGTGTAACGATATTGTCATGTAAATAATTGTTATTGTCTGGCTGCTTATAATGTATGAAGTGTGTGATGCATAATGTGTGTTACTGTTATTAATGCAAGTCATTTTAACATTGTTTTGTTCTTTTGTTCAGTTTTTATTAAAAGTGACATATTTTATTACACTTAATGGTAAGTATTTAATTTTTCTAGGTAGCGATGAATTTAAACCCCCATTATACAACCATGTAATATCCCATTCTTCATCTCAGGTACTGTAGAATGCATATCATCATGTCCCCATTGTCTTTGTCATAAGAAATACCCCTTTAGGATGTGAAACTCATAGAACACAGAGGATTTACAAGGTGAGTGGCCACAAACCAATTTACGACAACATTGGAATTATTGGCACTTTCCGTTGTCTCTGACTGTCACTTTCTATTTAAAGCATACAACTTTATTAACTACCACCAACCCTCTTTCTGTTACTGAAGTCCCATTTGAAGCAGTTTCAAAGATTTCAGTGCGGGTGTCTGATCACAGACAAGTCTTCTTCATTTAAGGCTGTTACAGTGAGTCCTCTGACTTCCCTTCAAAGCACACAACTCTCAGGAGATTTATTAATAATCCCCAAATTCCTTCAACTCAGTTTAGTAATTTATTTGAGTTGGCGTGAGGTCTGGGTCTAGGAGTAGGGCATGGTTAGGAAACTCTGTTCCTGGTGCCGGAGGTACTGCAGGATTTTATCCCAACTAGGCACCACACTGAGCTACTTAGTTAATTGATCAGGGCCCAATTTCCCAAAAGTATCTTGAGGCTAAATTCATATTAGAACCATAGGATACTCTGGTTCTAACGATAGCCTTAAGCTGCTTTTGGGAAACCGGGCCCAGTTCAGTGATTGCCTAAATTAAAACCCACCTGGTCTTCCAGGTCGGTTAAATAAATAAAAAATGAAGTGCCTGCGGCGTAGGGGATTGGCAACAGCCTGGGCCCATTCCAGAACAAATAGTTTTCTGGATTCCTTACTTTCCTATGATCTGGATGGTTAAGAGGTGAGTAAGTGAGTGATAAAGTTAATGTCTCTCAGGCGAGTATTCCGTGACAGATCTAAAGCTCTTGATCCACAGGTTAATTTAAGATGAGGATTAAAAACAGGCTTAAAAACCTGCATACCTGTACATATCAGCTGAGTAACATTAGACATTAACTATAAGGAGTTTTGTTTTTAGTCAAAGCACTCGTTTCAGTGCACTCCATATAATGAAAATGACCTCTTGCCCCTCAGGTGCAGGTGACTAGTGTGAGGTGGCATAAATGAATATAGGTGCTGAAAGAACCGATACCATGGTTTCACTCTCATAGTTGTGGAATGTGTAGAAATTATAACTGCATCCTCACTGTCCAATTCAGAGTTTTAGGGTACCAGGGTGTAGACAAAGGGACTGCCTGTGTATGTCACTCATAAGTAAATCGTCATTAAAGGTGATGACATAAGGCCACAGAGTTATTTGACTGGCTTCTGCAAGTGATATTTAAAGGTGTATATGGTATTCTTTATAAAATACCTCTGATGGAATGTTGATCTTTGCATTCACCCATAATGAATTCACAAAGATGAGACAAATTAGGTATTTTCCAGATTTGTTACATAATGCTTGTAATTATTTATTCACCAGCAACATTAAACAAACATTTCAGTTTCACCGTTGTGGAAAAGCAGTGGTGGAAAAAGTACTCAATTGTCATACTTGAGTAACAGTAAAGATACTTTACTTATATTAATAGAAAATGAATCAAATAAAAGTGAAAGTCACACCGTAAAACACTACTTGAGTAAAAGTCAAAGTATCTGGTTTTAAATGTACTTAAGTACAGTGGTCGAAAAAGTACTCAACTCTCATCTTGATTAAAAGTAAATGCTATATATCAAATTCCTTATATTAAGCAAAGCAGACCGCACAATTTTCATGTTTTTTTAATTTACGGACAGCCAGGGGCAAACTCCAACATTCAGACAGTTTACAAACACAGTATTTGTGTTTAGTGAGCCCGCCAGATCAGAGGCAGTAGGGATGACAACGTGTTACATTGATAGGTGTGTGCAGGGTTCTACACTTTTTCCACTGGTGGCACTGGTGCTGCTACCAACTTTTTCAGTTGGTGGCACCAGCACATGATTTGGTCAAACCAAATGTTTTATATATTTGTTTTAATAATTGATAATGACCTGGCCTGTGTCCCCTAATGTACCTGCATTCCATACAGAACCAGTCTAATAATAACTAGCCATCTCTTAAATTATCATGCCCTTGTGTTCTTACATTGATTTGGATAAATGTACTGTAACAGCAAAGAAAAGAGTCTTAAAATAAAGTGCAAAATGTATTTATTGCAGATTTCGAAGTGCCATGTGTTCTATTTTGCAAAAATCCTCTAGAGGGCAGAATTTGAAAAAACTATACTTGATACCAACATGATACCACAGCAACAACTAAAATAAAGAGGGGAGACTGACTTGTCAGGTTTTTGCACTCAAAACAAACTTTTTTAAATAGAAAACAACTAAATTGGAT